AAATCACAACTTAGTTTACATAGCTACAGTATTTTATAGTGCTATATTCAACCGTGTCTCTTTTATTTTTGTTATAGTGTCCATATGAGATTTAAAAACTGGGGGACTGTAGGTCATGAGATCTTGCCACAACAAAGAGCAATACATATCGTACACTAGATGACTTATATTGTTACGCACTCCATAAATCATACTCTAAATTTTTTTTCTATGCACTAGGATTAATTTTTTTTAACAAACTAATTTTGTTGTGTTGTATAACAATTTTATAATAATGTGACTTTTTCGTTGAGCGCTAATAAGAGTATATTACAGGAAAATATATTTAATCACTAATAATCTGAAGTATCTGAAACATTAATTAACAGGAAGTGGTTGAACTTGTGGTAAATAATTTGTTGTACATTCTGAAATTATTTAAAATGCATCAAAGTATTGCAAAAAGGATATTATCTTCAAAAAAAAAAAGGACAGTAATTTTAACCACTATTGTACTGAGATAAAGGAAACCTTTAGTAGTACTGTATATTATTGTAACACATTGATAGCCATAGAAAGATCTAACTAAAGTGGAAGCTGTTTTTTATACTAAATAAAGGACAGTAATGACGAAGTGTCAGTATGCAAAGTCATTCTTGGAATTAATATTAATATTTAGTTCGTATATACTTGAGTGATGTTAACAGAAAACACTTCTTAAATATTTTTGGTTCAAATTGTATTCTGGAAACTTCCTTTTTTTATTTTTTTATTTTTTTACCCGTCATACATTTATGTGTGTGCAAAAAAATCGAGAGAATTGATATATTTTTACTATTTCATGGTTAAATTGACAATATGATATTTTAATTTAAATTTTAAATCTGCAAATTCACAATATGCATAAGTCCGAGTAATATTTTAAAAGAACTAAATGAAAGCTTTAAGGATCTTACTTATAATACAGAATATGTTATTTTTCTACATCGAGAAAATTTTATATAGGTGCTCTCAATTATTAAGTGGTTGTGGATTCCTCTCATAGCTTATACTTTAACGTTTGCAGTCCTGTACCTGAACCTATTATAGTTGAAGATGATGAAGAAGACTTTTCTGATGTTGATGGTATCAAAAACAACCATACATCTGATAATACGATTGGTCCCGAAATTAGAAAAAAGCACTCCAATTTTGGCGTTTAGTAAAAAGAAAGAGAATAAGTCTTGAATCATGACAAATAAATTTAAGAAAGTTTTAAATTAGAGAACACTGAAGAGATGAGAAAAACAATTAAACGAGGGTTGTCGAAGAACTGATAAATTCAGCATCTAAAAAATCTGTTGCTGTACATTATTTTGATTTGAAGATTTGGGCTTTAAAAGCCAGAGAAGAAGTTGGGCTATCTGCTGATTTACTTTAAGCATCATCTTAGTGGTTGCATACATTCAAATACAACATCAAGTCGTAGAAAAGTTAGAAAAATTGATTAATTTTTAACACAAAAGAAACTTACAAATGAAGCTGAACTTTAAGAAAATGCTTTTAAATTTGTAGAAAAGTTGTAATTGGAGGTTATTGGAAATTAAAATAACATTGATAAGTAAAAGCTTACAGCATTTATTTTACTATGTATTGCACATGCATCAGCAATCGTTTTCAATATTTTTTGGCGTCATTATTCAATAATTATGATTCAAAATCTTTTCTCAAGCATTGGGATGAGCCTTAACGAACTCCCTTACTTAAGAACTTTATAATCTTTCTATCCTGCGAAAAGAAAGGGTTAGTAATTTCGTATGCTTGCAGAAATCTCAAAAACTACGAAGCCGTACTTGTCAAATGTACATACAAGTTTGGTTATTAGTTCTAATGTGTCATGGGCTATAATACAAAGCGGTTACTTGGCTGTAGAGTAAGGAGAAAAGGAAAATTGAAACTATTGAAACCCTATAATAAGAAAACATTGCAACTTAACCCCCGTAGCAGTTGATTAATTCCTAAAATTAAACGCTTGTTAAAACAAAAGCTCCTGTTGTCAAATTAAAAAGTTTGTGATCGTCTAAAATTGTTCTGAGTAATAGTTTTTATAAATATTTACCGAGAACAAGTAATTTTTTTGCACATACTGAAAATTAAACGTTAATTATACAGTAATTAAAAAATCACAACTTAGTTTACATAGCTACAGTATTTTATAGTGCTATATTCAACCGTGTCTCTTTTATTTTTGTTATAGTGTCCATATGAGATTTAAAAACTGGGGGACTGTAGGTCATGAGATCTTGCCACAACAAAGAGCAATACATATCGTACACTAGATGACTTATATTGTTACGCACTCCATAAATCATACTCTAAATTTTTTTTCTATGCACTAGGATTAATTTTTTTTAACAAACTAATTTTGTTGTGTTGTATAACAATTTTATAATAATGTGACTTTTTCGTTGAGCGCTAATAAGAGTATATTACAGGAAAATATATTTAATCACTAATAATCTGAAGTATCTGAAACATTAATTAACAGGAAGTGGTTGAACTTGTGGTAAATAATTTGTTGTACATTCTGAAATTATTTAAAATGCATCAAAGTATTGCAAAAAGGATATTATCTTCAAAAAAAAAAAGGACAGTAATTTTAACCACTATTGTACTGAGATAAAGGAAACCTTTAGTAGTACTGTATATTTTTCCAAATTTAGATTTAAACTTTTCTGCAGTTCCATGAGAATCAAAACATTTTTTGTGCTTTTAAATGTTTTTAAAAAACTATAGTGATCTTTCAAGTAACATCTTAATTTATTCTAACTATTTTTGTACTTAAATCAGAAGAAAAATACTTAAAAATACGTGATTTTGCGTTACTTCTTAGCATGATTCATTAATGGTATTGTTTTTTGATAGCTGTTTTAATACAATGTATAAAGATTCCTGTATTGATTTTAAAGTAAACATTTTTTTAGTGTGTAGGGTATATATAAGAGTTACTAGTAAGGGTATGTGAAAAACTCGTTGATTGCAGGCTAATCGATTAGTGCACTTACCACTGTCGTTAGTCTACCGTCATGCCAAGCAGTCAATGTAAATATTACTCTTCAAAATAATAGTTGATATGCATAATTATCTTGGATTTCTACTGTCAAGTACCCAATACTGTCGGCTGCGTCTTAGATATCTCTATGCAGTAGGAGCTATGGAAAGCCAACCAATTCGGCTTAGACTCAACATATGAATCTTATATCGCTACATAAGCTTTAAGAAATTAAATATAATTTTTTTATAACCACAGCTAGAGAAAAAATGTCAGAAAGCACTGCAACTCTCTTTAATCTAAAAAATATTTGTAATGTATAATCTAGTAATTAGTAAAAAAATCCTTTCTTACCTTCAAGTTTAGTTGATATAAAGCTGATGAGCAAAATTCTCTTGAGCACTGTAAATTTTTTTGAAACCGTGCAAAAGGAGACCGTGAGATAGCTTATCTATCGATAATGTAACAACGGTGCCCAGAACATTACGAGCCTTCATAAGTGACGTTCACGTATATTTGGCATTAGCCATTCTGTATCCATCATACTTATTGATTTTAATTTACATTTCTATATTAAAGTTATACCTATTATTTACTTGAACTATAAAGTTTTGAAACCGTGCAGAAAAAGATATCATAGAGTCAAGGTGTGGTATGAGTACTGCACTACAGTTATTACTAAATAGTAAGCTAAGAAAAGTCAGAAAGTATTAATAACATCTAACTATGTGACATTTTTTTAGTTATTAAATACTGTATGATAGTAATTCGTTTTATACTTAATTATTTGTATATTGAAAACTTGAAAAATACTGTCGAATATTGTACATGACATCATAAGTGAGTCTGGGGTGGGAAAACATGCAATTTTCTGATTTTTCAATTCCTCATCTGTAGTTGATATGACTTTTTTGTTACTGCAAAGTGGCACAAACGTACTGCAGAAAGTGATATGTAACTATAATTAAGCAAACGTACCTAAAAACATGAAAATATTCAAGTTAATCTTACTACTAAAATATTTCTAACTATACATATTTCGTAAGAAAAATATTATTTCGTTAAAAGTCTAGCACTTTCAGTAATATAACGCTATAAAAAAAAAAGAAGCTGAGGTATCACTCTCACTACTGGAAGTTGCTTTGTGAGATACACACTGCCGTCAATGATTTTAGTGTTTGCAAACAGAATGCAAGAATGTCTGTATTGCGACTATAAGTAGATAAAAAGAAACTTTCATTAACAATAATAAGATTATTTAACCGTTTAAGAAATCAAGAAGAACTTCTCTTAATTAAATAATGCACACATGATTTTGTGATTTACATCAGGTCGTTATATATTAATTTTACCATGAATGCAGAGTGTGGCAATTCCTTTGTGTCCTCAAGTCTCACTTTGCATCCTTCAATCCCTTCATTTTAAGACAAGAAAATACTTTCTTGCCCTCCAGGCACAAAGTACTTTCCTGTACGAGGGTCAAAAATGAGCCCATGTGCAAAAAGCAGGCCCTTGTGCCCTTAATAAAAAAAAAGTCGTCCGCAACTTGGGCAAAAACATACATCAACACCTGAAAAGTGCGCTAGTTATCCTTTTGTTTACAGTGCGAAGACTACTGTTATTACTGTTTTTATTTTTTTTCTCACAGAAACATTAGCTAAAAATAAAATCTGACACAGCACATATCTAACAAATACTCTTATTATTGACAAAGTTACAGTTAAATTATTTTTTGACTTGTACATGACTCCATCAGTTGATCTGAATTAAGCAGTCTTTTATTTGTGATAATGAAAACTAACCAATCGAGCACTTAAGTTTACATGATTTGTACTATATTAATTCGAGAGAAATTAAGACAATGTGATTTTTAAATAATTCTTTCAAATTCATTTATTAATAGTTAAATACTGTTTTTTCATAAATTATAGGTAGTACAAGTTAGTTGAAGGGTAAATATTACTGATTAATTAAAAATTTTTTCAGGTATTTTCTAGAGAAATGGATGAAACATTACAACATATGTCAATACTTTGCTCTAAAGAAAATTCTCACCCTGATAACATAGATTTGGACTGTTCAAACACCATAACAGTTTTTCATGAACATTTCATTGAAAATAGTGATAACGATTCATTGAGTCATACTAAAATGTTAACAACCAAGAAAGCTAAGCGGATTCGATTTTTCAGAAATGGTGATAAATTTTTTAACGGTATTGTCATTGCCGTTACACCAGAAAGATATAGATGTTTTGATAGCCTTATTTCAGATTTAACAAGAGCCTTAATTTCAAATGTGAATCTGCCAAACGGTGTTAGAATTATTTATACTATGGATGGAAAAAAAGTCCACAGCATAAGTGATTTAGAAGATGGTAAATGTTACGTAGTTTCAGGTCAAGGTGAAATTTTTAAAAAAATTGGCTATTCCTCCTTAGTAAAAAAAGGCAATTTAGTAACAGGATTTCCATTATCACCTTCAGTTAACGTAAGACAAGCTAACACCGTTTCGCTTTGCATTAAAGCAAAAATAATAACGTTGATTCGCAGTGGTATAAAACCACGTAAGATTGTGAGATTACTATTAAATAGAAGAAACTCAACCAGTGTGGAACATATTTTGGAATCAATCACAGAAGTCATAAAGTTAGATTCAGGGACAGTAAAAAAAGTTTATTCATTATCAGGACAGCAAATCATAAGTTTAGAGCAGTTTTTCAGTAAAGATGACATTTTTATCATATATGGCAATGAAAAATTGAATCATGAAGATTTTGAACTTGATTATGAAGAATCCAAATGTGTTAAAAGTTTTCACAAAGGGCACTTTAATTTTCAAAAACACAATGGACCTATGCCTAAAATGCCAGCTCGTAAGACCGACAAAAGATTATTAAATTTTTCGCCAACAAGAACTACCAGCCCATTCAAAATAGATTTGCCGGATTCATTTAAACTCGAGTACAGTGTAGGACACATCATTGGAGATGGAAATTTTGCTGTTGTAAGGCATTGTATACACAAGTTAGTAATCATAACACATTATTTTATTACCATTGCTCTTTGTCAATTATGACCCAATATATGTATGTTACCATTCTCTAGTCTATTTTTCTCATTTTCCATTACCGCAAAGCGCACAGTAATTGGTCCCTTCGCAGTAATAAGGTAATTTATCTCGATGTACTTCTGTGTTAGCTGTAAGCGCGGGATTGCGGGAGTAAGTACAGCGGTTTCGACGATGATACCGAATTGCAATCAAAAAGCAAACTAAAAATGTCTTCTAGCAACACGGTAGGCTTGAATCCAAAAGTTTGAATAAAATGGATCCAGAATCAGCGAACGCAGAAAGTTTCTATATTATTTGTACATAAAAAATCAGTTAAATTCAAAATTCTAGCTTCTCCTTTTCGCGAGTTATACGTATTTTTATATTTTCGGCATATTAACTGTGTGTTATTGAGCCTGTGTGAAAGACTTTCTCACATACAATCGTTTTTGGATTTGATAATCTTTGTTACCGCTTTTAGCCAAGCGCAGGGTTAATGACAAAGACGTAGTGGTTAAATGGTCCCTTTCCTTTCTTACCTTCAAGTTTAGTTGATATAAAGCTGATGAGCAAAATTCTCTTGAGCACTGTAAATTTTTTTGAAACCGTGCAAAAGGAGACCGTGAGATAGCTTATCTATCGATAATGTAACAACGGTGCCCAGAACATTACGAGCCTTCANTAGCAATTTGTAATTTTTAATTATACTTAGGAACATAGTGTAAGTAAAGATAAATTGTAATACTAAATGTAGGGAAGTAAATTCAATGACTGCTTTCAATAGTTGTGATGAATATGATACGTAATGTGTACTTGATACTTTGTCACGTGCCAAGAATTTGAAAAAATCATGACTTAAAGATTTTTCGCTGTGCTCTGACCAGTACCCTAATCCATTATTGTTTTCTATGAAATTCAAACTTTCTTTTACATGATCGAAAATTATGCGAATCTTTAGTGTCTCAGAAAGCTGATCAACACTTTTCAAAGCCTTACCTAATTCGTTTATGTAAACGAGTGAGAGTCCAACTTTTCCAGAGATAAAACAGTAACGAACTACTTTCTTCATCGCTTTATAAGCATTGACAAAGGATATCATTTTGAAAATACCTACCTCCTCATACATTTCTGGATCTTCTAGTTTATCAGCTTCTTTTAATAACGTTCTACATGCATTACCCTCAAATGTGTCTCCGTGATTTTTTAAAATAAAGTTGAGCTTTTTCGGCCGCAGTAGAGCTTTTCCTCTACCTACAAGGGTAACTATTCTTCGCCAGAACAAGTGTTTTACAAATCCCTGTAAAACATGAAGCTCGGTTATAACACATTTTTGCAACACATAAACATTATGATCTTCCGAGAAAATAGGAAGATTAATTTTACTATGACATTTTTTACTATATTTTTTATCTTTACGTGTAAGACAGTATTTTTTTAAACCAGCTCGCAAATCTCCATAAGTTTTTAATCGCCTACAATTTTCTACTATTTTTGTATCTATTGAACTCGGGCATGCAGTAGAATCAGAACTATTTTCAGCAATAGATTTGCTTCTTAAAGTATTTAACCAAACAAAAAAATATGGATAGGGATAGGTGGTGGTAGCAGTTTGTTGTCCATTAAAAATTAGTAAAAGTTTAAAATCTGCCACAAATTTGATCGAAATATTATTTGGATCTGTTACGTCAACTAAGAGCTTAAAATTGTCGTAAGATTCTTTGATTTGTGAAACGATGCATAAAAATATTAATTTGTCTACGCTACTAAGCGTACCATGTTAACCAAGAGTTCCACCTTTCGAATATAATAATCTGTTTTCAAATTTATATAAATCATTTAAGTTGAGCTCACTGTTTTCGGTATCCTCAGGATTCAACTGTGGAGAGTAATTTTCAGGAAGAATTGTCAAACTAATTTTAACAAAACCTTGACCTCTATCAGCAATAACCTTGACAGTACAAGTACCTTATACCTATCTTTTCTCTATAACTTATTCAAGTAAATATTTAACATTAGCATAGATAAAAGTCCGTTGTTGTTTATTTGATGAGTTTTCACAGTCAAAATTATAATAGCCAACTTTATGAATATCTACTAATGCATTTCATTTTTTTGGCATATGTTGATTATAATTTTTAGGAATCGATTTTCTACCTACATTACACCTTAATAAATTTGTAATTTTTCTCATCTGATTGTGTGATGCCCCTATTTTAACTCAAAAATCATCCAAACTGTTTTCGCTAAAAGAGAACGGTTTTTTATACTCTCATGAACAATTAATTTTCTTTTCCGACCACCAGTTACTAATGTTGAGACTGAACTTTCATGATTCATTGGAAGAGCAGAATCACATTTCGTTTTTATAATAGACTTAACGACCTGTTCTTCATTTTCATCAAGAAGCCATTCAACTCGTTTCAGTAAATTATCTTTAGAGCTCTTGCAAGCATGGCTCATACCTTTTCTTATTTCTTGAAAAAATTTACTACAGAGCCTAATAACGTTACTAGTGGTTTCTACTGGACTTGAAGCTTCTTTTTTCCTTTTTCCTCCATAGACTTTTTACATTCCCTGAAACATCTATGTTAGTCCTTAGTTCCCTGAAATGTCCTCTGCCTTTCTTTACATTTACGTGCCCAAAAGAAGTGTCAGTAAAGCATGTATAACAATCACAGGTATCTTTTGCAGATCGTGTCTCTTTCGGTAGTACCATTTTGTTGTAATCAGGCGTAGTTTGTAATTGTCTGTTGAATATCTCTTTTTCAAAATCAAGAAGTGTTGGATAGCTTGATCTACAAATACTTAAAGGTTATTTTTCATTTTGTAATTTAAAATCCTTTGACACATACTTTTTATAAGATTTGCCGTTTTATCATTCATTACTAACTTTTCCGACTTAACTGTACCAAAAATAATTTTTCTGCCACACAAAGCGTATATTTTTTTCGTATTCTTATTATGAGAACATTTACTAGTGTGACTTATAATAAATGCAGGACAAAAATAAAATGACAATGACTTTGAGAAATTATTCTTCGTTAAATTGTGAATTTATTTACACTCGAACCTGTTGTACCGAATTCTGTTGGTAGTAGTTGTCCTTTGGTGCTCCTGCACGCTGTATTTTCAAAGTATTATTAAGCTCTATTGCATCTATGTATATCTTACTGTGTTTTATTTGTAATACAAGTTGTATTTTTTTTACACGCCACCTAGTGGTATCAGACCATATTAATACATCGATACTTATAGTTAAGAAAATTAAAATTTCAAATTTTAATCACAAAAAATTTAAGAATGCGAATAACTCGCGAAAGAGAGCAGCTAGGATTTTGAGTTCGACTGATTTTTCATGTACAACCAATATAGAAACTTTCTGCATTAACAGATTTTGGATCTATTTTAATCAAACTTTAAGAGCCTTCAAGCACACCGTGGCGAATCACTAGTTTCTATTTTGGAATTGGAGGTTACGAGTCCTTAAACTATGTGGTGATTAAGTATGACAAAAATAAAAAATTAAATATATAATCAATAAAAGTATTAAGCATTACTAGAGCTCCTAACTTATTATATGATAAATTACTCTATTTAGAGTAAGTTGAAAGATAATATCACGAAATGATATAATGATTAGTGTTAGCTTTTTCTATAGTAAAAGCTTGTAATAACCCTACATATCTGTTGAAAACTGACAGAGTAGAAAAAAGAGCTGACTTTTAAACAAATAGCTTGTAAACTATCATCTAAAGTTATTTTGTACCAGGTGTGGGTTGCCCTTATCAATGAAGTGATTCACAGAATTACTGCTATTGTTTTTTTTTTTTTTTTTTTTTTTTTTTTTTTTTTAGAATTGTAAAAGAAAAAAACAATTCAAAGTGAAAGAAAAATTATTATGGGAGAATAAAATTAAAATTTATTAAAATTGAAAACAAATCTTGATTTCAAAGCTGCCTTAATGTATTAATCGAGATGTAAATACTGCCTTTATTTTACGATAATAAAAAGCAGGGTACTGATTTTTGTTGAATTTTCTTACAACTNTATGCTGTAATGCTATTTTTTTTTTTTTTTTTTGTTTTTTTTGTTAAGGAGGTGCAGTCGTTTTTAAGATTTACTCACTCGCTGAAAAAAATAAATATTGTACTTTAACATGCTGGAAGTACATGTGAATTTTTTCAATATTCCTTATCCGCCAAGTTTTCATGAAAAAAATTCCTGAAATTGCATGATTTAACATTGCTCTTATGGGCGAGAGCCATTATTCAGCCTTTGTTGCACAAATTTCGAGGCTAGAGATTTATTCATAATGAGAAAAAAGTTCAAATGGATAGCTTAACTTCTAAGGAAGATTCTCGTATCAAAAAATGTGCACCTTATCAGACAGTTGGAAGAAATTTCTATCCAAACGTAAGCAAAGTCGCGAGCAGGTCTTATGCTAAGTGTATGGGAGAGAACTGAGCATCGTCTGCTGTCAGCTGGTCTTTTCACAGGGAGCAAGACGTCTTTACAAAATTGCTTCTAGAATTTGTTAAACTGGAGATCATGATGTGAAACTTGGCCCAGCCTTTCTTAAGACTTGAAATTATAATGCTATGCAAAAAAAAAGTTTGTTTTTCGAAAATTTATAACACACTTTTGTTGACGAAAGTTACGTCTCCTGGTCCTTTTTTTAGGTCATTTTTTATCACGCAAACATGTTTTCAATTTTTTATAAATCAAACTATCGTCAACAAGCTGCTTTAACGTATGCACTGTAATTTGTTCATAACGTTGAATGGTTTAACTTTTGAGCACTGACGAGTTAAACACAGTTAAATTAACCGTGATGCAGTAGGCGGCCGTTTTCATGCACGGTTAGTACAACTCACTTTAACACGGGGTCTTATGGGAGCCCTAGCACACCCGCTTACCCGCCGGAAAAAACGGCCGAACCTCCTGAAGAGACTATTTTATCTTCATTATTTATTAGTATGTTGTTAAGGATATGTAGCCCTTGTTATCAATTTCTTAACTTTCCTCGTTAAACAGTTAATCCTAATCCTATTTAAGACATGTTTAAACGGTGTGGGAATAGATTGCGCTGTTCATAACTTACCTTTCGAATGCAGCCTTATGATTTATCGAAGCTATTGATTTAGCCTAACCATTTTGCTTACTATTTAATAGGTCATTTTTATTTACAAGATCCTTAGCATAGTCTATTAACAGTTCATGTGATCCATAAATATGTCTTTAAGGTCATCTCGTTTTGTTTAAGCCACTGTATCGAATAACTTTATTCTGACACTCATCACTGTCTTTCGTAATGATCTGAAGATAGAAATGACAAGGAATAAAACATGATTGTTGACTTCGTCTCTTAAATGTGAGCTCGTAGACTTTTTTCAATCACTACTATCAAAGTTTGATCATCTGTTATATTAAAATATTTAAGACCCATGTTACATGGAACAGGACACAGTTATTAGTTAAGTTCAACCAAGTGATTCGTGCTTGTGGTCTTTCTTTAATCACTTTTGTTTTATTTTAAAAATTTTCTGAAGGTTATGGATTTAATTGGATGTAGTTGATACTCGTGGGAGTAAGTGTTCCTACTGTGACAATTCTCTTACTCAAGACTCCACACAATCCATCAAACAATAAGTGATTACTCAAAAAGGTACAGTTTCTCCTATAGTCGAAATCGTTTTTTTCTTACTTTTTTCTTCGTGGCCATTGTTATTGCTCCAGCTTTTAGATTCAAAATCTAACTTAAGCTTCTCCTCAATATCTTTTTTTTTTACTGTTATTATTCATGATTCCTACTGCCAATGGTCACGAGGAAAGAATTAAAGTAAATGTCAGTTGCAAAAGGAGAAAAATTGTGTTGTCAGTTTGAAACCGCTATAAACTATGACGTCAAGGGAAGTATGAAAGGGTACTTACAGACAATTTTTGTACAAACAGTGAAGTATAACTTTACTGTAAAGATTTTTCTTCATTGTATACCAGAAAGTAGTTCTGCGATTATCACGAAGAAACCATAGTTGAGTTATCTTATGAATCATTTAGTCTCATAATACGCTTCACATTTGGCAATAGATAAAATTAAGTAAAATTTCTCTGAAATCTTTATGTACGTTTCTATCTCCTTTAACACAACCTCATAACAATTTCGATTTTTTATGGCTTTTTTGTATACTAATAGTTATATCACTAAAACAAATAATAGATTAGGCCTGATCAATTCAAAGACCGCCTGACTGCTGTAGGCTACCGCACTTTTTTGATACACCGCCTTTCTGAAGTGCTGAAAAATTCACTGCAGGATGTGAGAGAGAGAATTTGGTACTAGCGGAATGGGGCTAATTCGCATGCAGTTTGACCCGTTATTAACACCCTGAATAAGATTTTTCCTTGTCGTTGGATCGGCAGTAGATGTTATTCATCAATTTATTTATCACATATGATCAATATTGCTTTTTTTAAGCTTCCAAAACACATGCTTACCCATATTACTTTAAGCACTGCTTTTATTTTATTGTTCATTATTTGACTTAAAATCAGTACGTTGCTAAACAGTGACTAAAAATTTTTACGGTTCTCTTTGCACTACAAAGGTAATAAATGCGATTTAGGTAGGCTCTTTATTACATCAAACTAAACTAAGTTAGAATCAATTATCATATTTAGTCAGGATGATTAGATGATGATAAACATCCTGAAAGTGGTTCAAAATCGATATCTTACTTAATTTTCGAGATACCAGTTACTTATTCATAGTAGCTCACAGTATCATCCGCAGAAATATAATAATAACTCAGCATATCAACGGGCTTGCTGACACCGGGATGTGAAAAAAAAGAACAGTTTGAGTGGGTGGAGTGCATTTTTTCTCTCACAGCAACTCATTTTTTCTATTCAAACTCCCGATGTCAGCAAGCTTATTGGAACAATCAGATAATCAGTTCATTAGTCTATGTCTATGAAGTTAACAGTACAAGGCATAGTGAGGCAATGGCAAAGAAATAAGAAGCTGCAAACTACTGGCGTGTGATTTTCTCAACTAACAAGACCTACAAAGAATTAAGTTTTGTTGTGAGTGAGTGTCATGGAAGCAACGCTTTCGTATCACTGCAACGATTGATTATGTATCATCTTGCGTGTGATGAGCAATAATATACCTTAACATATTAAATGCTAAGTGAGATATCGATTCCTTACAATTTTCATTATAACCAGCTATCAATTTACCCTGACTACACATTAAAATAAATTCTTACTTTGTCCAGTGAGCCGCAACACAGTTTCCTTACCGTACTCTTTCCATTGCAATACTGTACTTATCCGATTTTGTATTTTATTTTGGTTTTTCTTTGCCTTTTTTCAATTTTTTCTAATCTTATGCAGGACATGAGTGCTGCATCCTTTCCAAATGTCCAATCCTATCCTCATCCTCATAACCGTACATTCCCAGGTCCTATAATCTGGCCTTCCCGCCCTCCTGATCCCAATCCTCTGGATTACTTCCTCTGGAGCATGATAAAAGATGCCGTCTACAGATATTCAGTCCACGATGTGGAAGATCTAGAAGACTGTTCAAGTGCTGTGTTTGAAAGTGTTACACCAAAAATGGTGGTCAGAGCAATGGATCATTTGTCCACAGACTCGAATGCTGTCTAGACCATGATAGTAAACATTTTGAGTAGTATGAATAATTTTATAAGTTTATTTTTTTAGTACTTTACTTTTTAATTATAGTTATTATGGCATGTGTTCAATTATATTATTTTCATACATCTCAAATTGAGTTACATTTCTATAAGAGACAACAATAAATTCTTAATCAACTGAGTTCTCGCTTAGATGTTGGTGGAACATTTTGAAAAAATTAATATAATCTTCAACCTTAGTGATCGTCATCATTAATAACCAAATACGGTGGCTATTTGTTGATTATTATTCTATTTATCATAAGAATTGATGACACTATCCTCATTCATGGAGTATATTCTATTTTAACTCTTTTGAAGCAAAAATAATTATAGTGGCTGCCATTGGCATTTTGAAAAGTCTGTTCTTTAAGAGTACGTAAAACGATAAGTGATGCCAGACCCCCCCTCCAATGACATCTTCATAGCAAATCAATCATAGCTTTCAGTATGTATACTGCTTGTAATATTAAACTTTATGATACATTTGACTATTATTTCGTCGGAATATAACATGGTGAGTATAAAACAGCAAAGGAATAAAATGCCAGTTTAAAATGCTTTGATATGCACGTCAAGGCTCCTTTCAGCTGTTTCATCCGTCCATCATTCACTTAACATTTTCAAACATATGTGCGCCCTATTAAGTAGCAGACATTTATTAGGATACGCTTATTGACTTGTAGTATAATGTAAGGGAGAGTTAGGATAAGAGTGGTGGACATGAAGGAGTATGCCAAAGATTGCACTGACAGTACAGTTTTTCATCTTGTTTATTGTATATTCTTATGTCAACTATTGAATCATAACTTAACCATTTATAAAATCTTATCTCTTGGCGTGTTTGCAACTCACTTGTACACTATTCTTTTCATCTTTTCCAAACACAAAAACACACACACACTCCCAGAAGTGACGTACACCTTTATATTCTCCCCCAGTAGTTTGCGAAAATGAATGATAGTCATGTATTATAAGTACTCGCTTAGTCTGGCTTTCTCCTGAGGTTTATTAAATTATTTTATTACCCTTAATGATGTTTTTAATTTTTCACTTTTAACTTTTCCCACATATAATTTTACCCATGCACGTATATTATTTATTTAGCATAGAGTAAAACCACCTGATTCTACGTGGAAAGCAATGAGAATAAGTGATTGTCCAGATAAGTGGAGACTGGTCGGAAAAAAAATAATTACTCCATTAGTAAAAATAATCATTAATTAAACGTTATTTAATAACTTGATAATTTTTAAATGTTTCAAAGTATTCACATTTTTTACAAACAGTTAAAATAATAAAAGTATCATTATGTAGCATGGGTTCCTTAATTTATTGCACATTTTAGTAAGAGTTTGTCTAAATTCACTGCGCAAGAGTTGGTCATCTGGCTCTACTTAATCGTTAACGAAATCTGAAAAAAATTGTGATGAATATGTTTATTTTTTCTATAATTAAGAAAAAAAGTAGTATTCATAATTTAGTGTATATAATTGTACTAAATTATTAGAAGTGGCGATCTAAGCAAACTTCTGCTATTTAGCTACTTCTGCTAAATAACGTATAAAGTACCGTATGTGGACTCAAAAAAGAGAAAGAAAAGAATACAAAAAAAACAGGTTGATTAAAATGTAAGCAATTTAGTGAAAGAAATATGAAATGAAAAAAACAATTGTAGTAAATGGAAAATCTTAGTTAATGCTAAAGTGTCAATAGAAAAACTGTTACATAAAAAACGATAACTTTGAATTATCTGTTAAGTTGATATATAATATGCAAGAAGTAGTATAACAGAAACATTATACATTAAAATGACTGTAGAGGCTGGGTATTTGCAACTAAGAGTAAAATTTATAAAGAAAAGACTTAGCAGTACCTGAGCCAGTTGACGAGAATACCTGGTGAGGCAAAGATAACGAAAAGTAAATAAATTAAAATACATGTAACCCAAAATCGGTGAAAAACAGTCCTGCGTAATTAACGGTATTTAATGAAAGAAAGTCGCTGATTTCCTAGACCATGATCAATAAGATAATGTTAAGGTTAACAATAAGTAAAAGGTAAAATATGAAAGTGCATTATTGTATTACTATCATTAGAGTCCAATAGCACACAAATTTAACAAGAAAAAAGATCAGTAAAATTGATACAATAATTACGAACATTACCTAAATAAAACATTTTTGTATATTTAAAGCTGAGAACACTCATCTAGATATTAAGATGTTGCACAGAGAAATTGACAGTTAATAAACATTAAGAGTATGAATATTACTATAACGACGAATGTATGTATAACTAACAAATGATTTTAATAATAACAATAGAATTATTAGTAAAACTCTTGAAACAGAGGTACAATTAATTGATTAATTAACTATTTATAACAATAAAAAGTGTTGGATCAATATTAAAGTGCATACCAAATACACAATCATAAATGTCACTAGGAATCATCTTGGAATTGCCTTTCCCAGTTCGTATCATTTTTTTTTATTTCTTCCACTCCCAAAATAATTTTGATGAGTTTTTGAGTCAATTTAGCACTGTTATTAGATAGAGTCATAAATTTTTCAAGTTTCCTCTTTGACGCGTAAATATCATTATAACTGTGAAGTTTTATCTACAATTAAAAAGTATAAAGAAACATTTATGATAGTAAATTTTGAACATATTTATTAATTAGACATAAAAATTAAAATTTATTAAAATTGAAAACAAATCTTGATTTCAAAGCTGCCTTAATGTATTAATCGAGATGTAAATACTGCCTTTATTTTACGATAATAAAAAGCAGGGTACTGATTTTTGTTGAATTTTCTTACAACTTCTTTATTTAAGTAGTTTTGGAGGTAACTTTGAGTTCCTAAGGTGTAGTATCTGCAATAAAAAAATGGGCCACTTGTCTTTCCCCGTAAGTTTCATGCATTTTCAAAAGATGTTACATTTTGAGTATTTAATCATTGATAAGTATAACCGTTGGCTATTAATTGTATGCCCAAGATTTTTGTTTGATTATACATAATCAAAAAATAAAATATTTTTAAATAACATCGTTCTAAAATGTAAAAAACAACTTTGAGATATATATACAAAAAGACGATGGGTTGTAAATAAAGAAATGTAAATAACAAAATATGGTTTATAGAATATAGAATATTAGTTTTCAAAAAACGGATTTAAAAAAAGGCATTCAGAAAAAATTTTATTCAGAATTTATCTAGACTAACCACAGAATCCACGTCAGGGTCATCCTATAATGCAGATGTAGCTAAAAGTTTTAAAAATCTTATTCAATAACAATAAAAATAATTTTTCGAATTTCGAAATAAAATTATCTGAGTATAACAAGCATTCTATTAAAATAGACATACCTTCACTGAGTTACAGACATTTTTGTAGCATGGAGTTATCTAATTGGCACCATTAATGGAAAAAATTGTCATACTCGCAAACAGAATATGTGTACTCAATACGAAGCATTTTTTTTAAATTTGAAATAGCAGAATTCGTATTATTCATTTTGAATTAACAATCCTTAAAAAGAGTCATATGTTATTTTTTAAAGTTATGTTTTTGTTAAACAACAGATAAAGGTCACAGCCCCAGAGAAAGATACGGGACTATGTTCGTGTTAATAAGATCACCCTATTTCTTCTATACAGATGGCGATATTTGAAACTGCTGCACAAACTGAATATCTGTGAGTGCAGAGATTAATATAAGAACTCACTGTCAAGTTTCATGTAGTTATGATGATAGGCATCACAGTAGACTGTGTATATTATGGATGAAAAATAACTGATTTTTTAGAAGAATTTTAGCTATAAAGTACTCGCCAAGTGCTGGCTAAGTGTCCTTCACCAAGTGCATGTTTAAGTGCCCAAAAAGTACCCTTCGCGTATACGCCAATTGTCCACCAAGAGAAATACCTGTCACCAAATATTCACTAAGATCATGGAAAATTCTTGTAAAGTACCCACCAAGAGATCAGAAAGAGCCATTTAAGTATCCGCTTAATTGCCAAGAAGTTCATGCCTAGTAACCAAAAAGCGCCTATGAAGTACTTGTCAAGTGCCAGCTAAGTGCCTACTGTCAAAAGTTCACCAAGTACCTATGAAGTTGCTGAGAAGTACCTGCTTAGTATCTGCTAAAAGCACAAAATAGCCTACTTAGTACCCACCAAACTTCCAAGAAGTTTCTGCCCAGTACCCGCCAAGAGGCCAGAAAGAGCCTCCTAAGTGTCTACCAAGTACCCGATGAGTTTCAGTTTAGTGACCAGAAAGTGCCTATAAAGTACTTGTCACAAGTCTCCCAACATACCAGTGAAAATACAATGCTTCTTGTACTACACTTTGCACGATATTAATGTTGATATTTTTATTATGGTTTTGTTTCATCTTTATATTTAATTTGATTTTTTTGCATCCTTGTTTTCATATTATTTATTATTTGTATAGTGTAAGAGATCTTTTTAATGCTTCTTAACTCAGTTTATATTGATGATTATCAACTGAATATGATTCTGAACATCAACAAAACAACCGATTTCTCTGACATTTTGAAATATTACCTTATTCACTGTTAAGTGGATGAATATTTTAAATAAAAATTGTATAATTTATCATGAATAATATAATAATATTTCGAATGTATTTTTTACATGTTTGTCAGAATATGTGAGTTCATCTGATAAATAAATAAATTTGATTTGCTACTTCTTTCTGATTTTATACAAGTGTAGAGCATCGATGTAGTTAGAACATAATCAGCAGATCGTGTACTAAACGCTGTAATTTCTCATCCTGAAGTTGCTAATTTTATTCCTAAGTAAAAATATATTTTACATGACGTTTATAGTAACCATAGTTTTTTGCTCGTTTATTTTATAATTGTTTGAACATTAGCCAAGTTATAGTTTCCTAGGCGCGTAGAATAAAGACTGTGCAGTACAAATGAAATAAACAGAGA